GAGAAGTTCCTGGGCTGCTCGGAGGCCGTCTTAGGGCCCTCTTTCCTCTCGGGGTCGCGCTGTGCCGACAAAACATAGGTTTTGTTGCCTGGGACTCCCTTGGGGGCTTCCATGAGCTTCGTGTTTCGGGTTTCGCCTGGAGGCCCATTGGGCATTCTGGGGTCCTTCAATGGCCGTTCAGAAGCCATCTTGGGCATCCTCGAGGCTTCGAATACCCAGTGAGCCTCGGGAGGGGGGGGGAGGTGCAAGTAGGTCGGCGCAGCGAAGAGACTTTTACACACATATATATATATATATATATGTATATATATATATATAGATATCATATATCACATTATACAGTTTTATTAAAATAGCAATGGGCAGACATCGTACCAGCACTTGCAATTGCACGACGCCCCCACGTGCCAGGTGCCACGGTGGTGGATTAAAGAGCAGGTGCGTTTGATAAGCAGCCTCAGCGTGCTCGTGGGAGCCCATGGCGCAGGTCTCACGCACGTGCTCCTACTGCCAAGAGGAGCAGCCCTTGTAGAAATCACAGCGTATTGGTGGTCACGGCCTCGTGCTCCAGCAAATATTTTCATGAATCTGGCTGCTTGGACAGGTCATCCTTATCAATGGGTGCTGTCTTGGACCTGGAACGTCAAGGAAGACCTGTGGTGGTATACCAACCCAAGAGCTGTGGCCAGAGCCGTGCAGGCAGGGCTGTGATGAGCGGACAGTCATCGTCTGCAGCAGAGATTTTACTTCAGAGGGCAGGGGCCGATCCGAGCAGTTATAACATGTCCGTATTCTAGGGGGATGTTGGGGGATCCCAAATGATCAGCTGGTGCTAGCATTGCCGTTCGGATTCCCGTTTCAGGTTGAAGTAGTTATCGCTTTCTGAAGCCTGGCAGCACGTGAGCGTCAACAGCCTATTTGCGAGAGGTGTCTTCGCTGTCTCCGTTTCTCTATCGCTTCCCTCCTCCCCTCTCCCTTCTACCTCATATGAAGTCTCCCTTCCGCCTGTATTGTCTCTGATTCTTCCCCTTGCCCACTGGGAGAGACGCGTCCCATGGGTGTTGGCAGCTGTGCCGTTCTGATTGGGAGCTCTGCTCTTGCTAGTGTTTCCGAACGTTGTTGGCATCATCAGCCTGGACAGGTGGTGGATCGTGCACACGATGCCACATCGCTTCGCGAGAGACGCCATCATTCATCACTCCCAGGATCCCAGGCAATGTCTTCAGATGCATGCACGGGGTGTGCCCCCAGTCGAACGATTGCCATCTCTGTGGGCGCTTTGTTCGTGTCGCGCGTCCCCAGCGATCCCGCATTGTTTCGGACCATCGTGATTGTGCGGACTTCTGAAGCCTGTCTTTGATCGTCCCCTGGACAGTAGACGGCTCTGTATGTTCTGCGCGTGGGACATATCAGATCCTTGCCTCTTCCTTTTTTCATTCGGCTCGCGTGTTCTTGGGTGTCGTTTTGATGATACCCATTTCCTGGAAGAAACGTTGTTCACGAGTTTCTACGTGCCCACTTTTGAAAGGGTTCTATGGCTGAACATGGTATCGAATGGCCTTCGGCCCATTCCGCCACCGTGCCTGGGCTGAGGGTCAGAGTTCTCAGGGATGCTTCTTCGGGTCTCTTCGGAGTGCTCTCGGGGGCTTGTCGGGAGCAGTTCGGGGGCCTCTCGGGAGCCTCTTGGGGGCCTCTGGGGGCCTCTTGGGGCCTCCTGGAAGCCTCTTGGGGGCCTCTTGGGGCCTCCTGGGGGCCCCTCGGGGCCGAGGGCTCGCAGTGTGCCAGTTCGGGTTCCCCATCTGGGCGCCCTCTTGGGGCCGTCTTGGGCCCTCTTGGGCCGTCTTGGGCGCCTCTTGTGCCGTCTTGGGCGCCACTTGGGCCGTCTTGGGCGCCATTTGGGCCGTCTTGGGGCCCACTTGGAGGCCTCTGGGGCTGTCTTGGGGCGATCTTGGGGGCCTCGTGGGCCGTCTAGGAGCGTCGGGAAGTCGAAAAGGCGAGAGCGCCGAGCAGCCGTGCGGTGGCCGGCTGTCCTCCGCGGGACTGCACCGCGCCACCCCGAGGTGCCCTCCTGGGGCGTCCGTGCTGCCGCGTGCAAGCCCCGCCCAGGCCGCTGCCTGGAGGAGGAGGAGGAGAAGGATGAGACAGAGGAGGAGGAGGAGGACGAGGAAGAGGAGGAGGAGGAGGAGGAGGAGGAGGAGGAGGAGGAGGAGGAGGAGGAGGGGGGGGAGGAGGGAGGAGGAGGAGGAAGGAGGAGGAGGAGAGGAGGGGAGGAGGAGGAGGGGGAGGAGGAGGAGGAGGGAGGAGGAGGAGGAGGAGGAGGAGGAGGAGGTAGACGAGGGCCGTGCCCTCGTCGCCGCGCGCCGCCACCTTCGCGCCGCGCCCCTTCCGGCCCCTTCGCCCCGCCTGCCCTGCCCAGCGTCCCCTGGGGCTCGATGTCCGCCCTTGCCCCACTGCTGCCCTCTGGCGCGGCCGCTCGGGGGGAGTGCAGAACCATCGTCTCTCACGTTTCTAATCGTGCCCTCTTCGCTCCTCCTCCTCCTCCTCCTCCTCCTCCTTCTCCTCCTCCTCCTCCTCGCTCCTCGCTCCTCGCTCCTCCTCCTCCTCCCTCCTCCTCCTCCTCCTCCTCCTCCTCCTCCTCCTCCTCCTCCTCCTCCTCCTCCCCCGAGGCGTTGTGGTCCGAGGCGCCCCATTTTGGGCTAGCGGCCCGACAGACCACGACCCCAGCCCCGCGGGGCGACTTCTTCCCTCTTGCCTCAGGAGTGGGCACGACGGCCGCCATAGCTGGGCGGTCCCGCTCACCGGTGTGGCACCGCAGGGCGCGGCGCCAGAGGGCGGCATCCAGAGCTCGGCTCCAGCGTGAGAGGGACTTCCTTCGTCTGCAGGACCACCACGGCAGCACACCTCCCAGGATGCCTGGGAAGCAGCAGCGAGTCTCAGCGCCGTGGTCTACCTGCAAGAGCTGCGGCGCGCACGAGTGGAACGGGGTCCTGCAGAAGCAGGCCTGCAGGTGCAGCCGCTGCGGGGTGAAGGTCGACCTCTACGCCGCCAAGGGGGGCAGCTCCAAGGACGGCAAGGCGGGCAAGGTCCCCGTCGTCGGGAAGGGGCCCAGCGACTCTCTCTCGGCGGAGGACAAGGCCATCTCGACCCTGGAGTCTGCGCTCAGCTGCACGGAGGATCCCGCCCTCCGCAGGATGATTCAGTCGCAGATCGACGACCTCAGGCACAAGCGGGCTCGGCAGTCTGCTGTCCCTCCAGAGGACGCACTACGACTGGCAGACGGCGCCGTCCGCGACGCATCCGTCAAGCACGACCAGGCCATGGCGCGACTTCTCAAGTGTCGAGATGCTTTGGAGGAAGCTCAAGAGAAGGAGCGACAGGCCGCACTTGTCCTCGCCCAAGCCGAGGACTCGAAGAAACTCGCCGCGCAGGCCCTCGCCGCCAAGCTGGGCGTCACGGTCCAGGAAGGTGAAGGCTGCGCCGAGAGCAAGACTTTTTTCCAGATTACATGGGACGAGGATTTCTTTCGCAATCTTGACAGCATGGAGGCCGAGCAGTCTGAAGTTCAGGAGCTGCGGAAGCTGGAGTCCGACCTCAAAGCAGTGAAGGACCAGCTGGCCACCAAGAACACGCAGGTGGGTGACTGGTTGCAGCGGGCCAAGGAGCTCCAGAGCCAGCTCGCCGACAGGATGGCCAAGAAGCGCAAGGGCGACGGTGGCTCCTCAGCAGTCGGGGCAGCAGGTGGTGGTGCGCAGGCGGCTGCAGCTGCTAGCGCCCCACCCACCGCCGCCGCGGCAGCGGGCGCGGCCGCAAGCAGCGCGGTGGCGGCCGCACCCCCAGCCGCCGCCCACGCCGCGGCCGACCCCGAGGCAGCCAGAGCCGCTCGGGAGGCGCGCGAGGCCCGCATCCAGCAGGCCGCGGCCAAGATCAGCGCTTCCAAGGCTGCCGCCGTGCAGGCATCCGAAGCGGCCAAGAAGGAGGCGGCTGGCGGCGGCGCGGGGGCGGCGGCCGCTGGCAGCAGCAAGTGACGAACGGGCAGGAGCGGCGGCGCGGGTGTGCAGGCAGCCGCGTCGAAGACCGCTCGGGGAGAGTCTGCGTCGCAGACTGACCTGCCTTGGGGTACTGAGGTCGCCACGACCTCCAAGAGCCAGAGTGACACATTCATATTTTTCTCTAACGTCACTGCCATGGGGAAGCAGGCCTGGGACTACGTCACTGGGCCAGCTTCAGCTCCGTATCACTACTTCCTGTTAGTTGAGACTCACATCGAGTCCGCCAGCGACCTGCAGCACTGGAAGGGCCAGGCACGCAAGTCGCATCTCAAGTTGATAGACAATCCAGCTCGTGGGACGGGCCGCGAGCAATCTGAGGCCACCAAGGACAGGGCCAACGAGGGCGGCGAGTGGATCCTTGGGAGGCAGCATTTGCAGTTCCACAGGGTCCACGACACCGACTCCGTGTGCCGCGACCTCAAGGCCGAAGGCAGCGCCGCCTTGGACGGGTTCACGGTGGCGATCCTCAACCAGCAAGGGTATTCCATCGTGCTGATCGCCTTCTACGGGTACTGCTCCGAGGGCCTCCACGGCAGGAACTTGGTGCGTTTCGCCAAGCTGGGGGCCCTCGTCTCTCAGCTGAAGCTGCCGTGGATTTGCATAGGCGACTTCAACATGCCACCGTCCGTCCTGGCCGACGCTGGGTTTTTGGAGCGTGTGGGTGCCAACGTCCTCACTGCTGCCGACACGGAGTTCACCTGCGTGGGCGGCATGGGCAAGGGCAGCACGCTGGACTATGTGGTGGCCAGCTATTCGGCGTTACCGTACATCGTGGGTTTGAGTGCAGTTTTGTCAGTGCCTTGGCGACCGCATTGCGGGCTTCAACTTCGGCTGAGAAGTTCGGGGTCTCAACTGTTGTGTCGGCAGCTGGTGCTTGCAGCTCAACTCCCACAAGTACCTCGACCTACCACCCAGCCGCGGGAGGGCTCCAAGTCGTCCATGGCCCGAGGGGAGCGCGCCCTGGCACGACGGGCGGCCCAGGACAGGATGGCGACGGCGACGGATGAGATGTTCGGAGACCTCTGCTCTGCTGGAGGTGCGACGGCGTCTACATCAGCGACAGCTTCTTCCTCTGAGGGCGAGCCCAGTGCGCAGGCCAGTCCTCTTGCCGCCGACTGGCCTGAGTCGGACGGCGAGGGCGACTACGTGCCCCCAGGTTTCTTTGAACCCGAGGCTGGCAGCCCAGCGGTTGCTGCGCCTCCAGCCACGCCCAGGCCCGAAGGGGCCGAGGTCGCGGCTCCGTCTCACGGCATAACGAGTGTGCTTACCGCATCCCACGAGTCTCGGGACCCACCCAGTTGTTCTGCCTCCCCCGAGGTCCCCTCGAACACCCATGGCGGTGCCCTGCCTGCCTTTTTCCTCCCCTCTGACCTCTGGGACTCCTGCAGGGCACAAGTGGGCTACACGGACTCCACTGGCACCTCGGAGGTTCTTCCCGCCATTGCCAACTCTGCGGCGTTTGCGGTTGGGGGACCACATATTCTTCGTCTGGGAGCTCTTTATGGATCTTGGGTCAAAGCTTTGGAGCGTACCGTCTGTATTCACCATGGGACGAATCTAGCGGGGCCTTCCAGGGACTCAGGGCCCAAGTACACCGTCACCGAGGTTAGAGCTCCGTCTAAAGTTCGGGAACAGCCTCTTCATGATCAGGTGTCGTCTTGGTGGGGCAGGGTTACCACAGTATTGACCAAGCTTAGCTTGCATCGTTCTCGTGGCAACGGACCCATACAGCAGCAGCAGCTCGTGGAGGCGTGTGCGGCCTTGGCAGGGGACCAGCCAGACAGCGTACACGTACCACTCGCTTCCTTCGCCGACCCGACCGTGGCCTCGTGGAGCGAGTGGCAAGCTCGGCTACTAACGGTCGCCGACATGCCTGATGCCAGCCTGCACGAGATGGCTGTCACGGCCAAGCGCATCACAGGTCGAGCTCGTCGACGGGCTTTGGGGGCGTCTCTTAAGGAGTTTAGTGCTTGGATTTCGACCTCGGAGGCTCCTGGGATCCTCCACAAGGCTCTTAAGAAGACCCCCCCTGTCCCCGATGAGCTCGTAGTCGACGGCCAGGTTATGTATCATCCCCTGGACATCGTTGATAGCAAAGCCAGTACGTGGAAACAGCTCTGGGGCCCAAGGGAACCCGACTTGCACGATGTCCAGGAAGTATTTCAAGAAATTCGTCAAGTTGCTCGGCACGAACGCCTCGAGCCACTTTCCCACGACAGAGTCCGTCAAGCGCTACATTCCATGCGAGCCAAGACAGGACTCGGGGTTGACAAACTCACCCCGTTAGATATGGAGCGTTTGCCTTTTGCTGGAGTTTCGGAGCTCGCTGGGCTCTACAACGCCTGCGAGGAATGTCTTTCCTGGCCCTGGCAGGTTCTCCTGGTCGTTGGGAAGCTTTTAGGGAAAAAATCTGGTTCTGACCGCGTTATTGGTCTCATGTCTATGTTTACCAGGACTTGGTCCCGCGCTCGGGAGGACGACGTCCGTTCTTGGTCTCAGGACTCCGAGCCTGCGTGGGACGCCGCAGTGGCGGGGAACTCGGCGCTCCGCGAGGCCTTCGTTCGCGCTTTGAAGGACGAGGCCATGCACAACTTGGGGATCGCTTTCGGGGAGGGCCTCGTAGACATCAAGGGGTTCTACGATGAGATGCAGTGGGGTCCTCTGGCTCGGGCCGCTCTCAGGCTTGGGTTCCCTCCTGAGGTTCTCTTCTTGGAACTACAGATGTGTGCAGCCCCTCGTACGGTCTCTCAGTTGGGGTCCTACTCCGAGGCCTTCCAGGTCGTCCAGAGCATCATTCAGGGGCTCAGGTTTGGGACGCGTTTTGGGCGATGTATGATCTATTTCATCATGAGTAAGATTACAGTGGCTCATCCGTCTATGTCTGTTCGAGTTTGGGTAGATGATATCAATGAACATGTCGCTGGCTCTCGGAAAGCAGTTCGAGAGAAGTTATATCAAGGCGTGCTCGACACGTGTCGGTCGCTTGTGGCGCACGGTTTGCCTGTGTCACCCAAGAGCGTCATCATGTGCACCAACGCCTCGGACAGCAAAAGTGTTGTCCAACGCCTTCGGCGTCGGGGTTTTCATCTGCAGCATGCTCTTCAAACCACTCTCCTCGGGGCTGATCTCGGGGCTGGTCGCGTAGCACGGGCTTCTCGGACCAAACGGGTGGCTAAGGCGAAGGGCATGAATTTTAGGATATGTAAGTTCGGTCGGGCGTCCAGGAAATATCTCAGGACTGGTTTACTTGAACGTGTCGGGGCGCAAGCTGCAGGCAGCTACGGGCACCAGATTGTGGGGGCTTTCGGTACCTTTCGCCAGCAGTGCAGACGTCGCCTCGGTCACACGCTTTCCTCGGCCACACGTGGTCGGTGTTTAACTACGGTTCTCGATCTGCGGGCCGACGGACATGATCCTGGGTACAAACTTCCGAGGGAATGTTTTCAGTTATGGTTACGCACTTGGTTCCAGGACCCGTCG